TATTCGGCTTTTCCAAAAACAGAGACTGACAACAACATTCCAAAGGGAAAACGTTCCTTTTGCGCAACTCACAGGCAGATGTGATAAAAGTATAATATTGTCGAATTAGCCGGTTATGCTGTAAAATATGACCGGCGTTTGCATGGTGATAAAGGAAGGATATTAAAAAATATACTGACATATATTTACAGTTATAATTCTTTTTCATTTCTTGAAAAAAAGGTAAAACATACTGGTACTATCAGTGGCGTAACTGGGTTGTGCCCCCCCCCCCCCACAACGAATGCCCGTGCCATACCCCCCCCCCCCCCCCGGCCCGGCGCTCCCCGTTTAAAATCTTGAAATGAACAAAAATGTGTCATTTGCCTTCAGTGCCCCATTAAAAATTGTGTGCACCCATGTGCCCCCCCCCCCTCCACCCAGCCACCGGAATTAAACCTCACGCCACTGACTGTTAATACCAATGAACAAAAAAGTACTCTCTTTTAACGTCTTCCACCTGGTGTCTTTCGTCAAGGAGGAAAGTATAATTAACTTATTAATAGGGAAATTGTTTAGGTTCTTGGGAATTTGAATTACATGTTTGACAACATTTCATTCTTCCCGAGGGATTTTCTCAGCCTTAACGATTTAGGTCGATTTGTGATCTAAAATCGCTTGTAATTTCATACTTCATGACATCAGAATAACGTCGCAGTAATATTGAGCCCGATGTCTCATTCAAAAGTGAACAACTTCTATATTGCTAGGAACAGGACTTTATTATAATGTGATGATCACAGTGTGATTTTAGTGTGCTAAGGCTAGCTAATGTCCTTTATAAAACATTGACTTAGTGTTGACAATAAGAGTTTTTATAGTGATATCTTTATCAAATCATTTCTCGTAATATATCAGACAAGAGTTTTGCTAAATTTCCGATATTCCAATTTAAGCCATGAGAGTCGTTTTATCTTAAATAATGATCTCAATATGATTAAAAGCAAATCTTGAATTTGTTAGTGTCATTTAAGATACAAATTTTATGCAACCTGTCAATAAAGACATTTTTGGGAATTTATGATTGTTAATGTTTAACGTGAAATGAATTACTTTTCAGCGGGATAAATAGGGGTAAACAAGGTAGAGGAGTGATTTCCTATACGAAGCTTGGGGGAGTAATTTAAAACAAGTTGAAAATAAAAAAACATTTGACCCAGATCAAATCAATACCCTACAGTTTATCTCTTGTTCCTCTGCCAGTTTATTGTTCATATAAGAACGGGTGGGGAAAACCTCAAATGAACCGACGAACAAGAAAGAATCCACGACAGTGCTTCATCATCTCCATATCGTAAGTCGACTTGGCAAGATAATTCATCTGCACAAGACGTCATCTCGACTTCGCGAAGTCAACTTGGCGAGATAATGCATCTGGACAAGTCACCAAGTCGACTTCGGTAAGTCGACTTGGTGAGATAATACATCTGGACAAGTCGTCAAGTCGATCTTCGGTAAGTCGACTGGGCGATATGTGATTAAGTCGCCTTACTCTCGGCGATATGTCAACATGACGTGATCAATTATCTGAGTAACTAAAGATGTGGATGGCACTCATGGAGCGCCGTAATCTTGAAACATCAGAGTGTAATAAGTACAATACACTTAGGGTGTTGAGCAGAACGCGCCCATCACTACCTGCTCTCTCATCCAGCTATTGGATCATTTACATGTGCAAGATTTGTTAACACGTATGCAAATGAGGAATAGTCTGGCCCCTCAGTGGCGTAGCCAGGAATTTTTCAGTGGGGGGGGGGGGGGGGGGGGGGGGCGGCGCTGGGGGCTGGAACATTTCATGGGGGGGGGGCGTCAATCGCTTCTCAAAAGTGGGGGGGGGACATACCTTGATCAGAACTGATGTGAGCGCGAAGCCCTTTACGGCGTGGGGGTTCGGGGCCCGCTTAAGGGCCCCGAAAAAAAATTGGATTCTAAATGTTCTGTGGTGTGATCTGAAGCAATTTCTTACCACTTTCCTCCATGCTTTCACTAATATTTTCTTAGCAAAAGATAATTATTTGAACATCGTTTTCGAGGTTGGAGTCATTGAATCAGCTATCGGTATTCTGAGCTATAGGCGTGGGGTTCGGGGCCCGCTTAAGGGCCCCCCAAAAAATTGGATTCTCGATGCTCTGTGGTGTGATCTGAGGCAATTTCTTACCACTTTAACCAATAATTATCTTAGCACAAAAGATAATAATTTAAACATAATTTTCGAGGTTTTCTCAGCTAAAGGCATACGAAAATTTTGTGAACATTGTTTTTGAGGTTGGAGTCATTGAATCAGCTACCAGAATTCTGAGCTATAGGCGTGGGGTTCGGGGCCCGCTTTAGGGCCGCGAATTCTAAATGCTCTGTGGTGCTATCTGAGGCAATTTCTGACCACTTTAACCAATATTTTCTAAGCAAAAGATACATTGTAGTACATAATAGGGCCCTGTAAATGAGACACGAGTTCAAAAATCGGGGGGGGGGGGACATTTGATATTGTGTCCCCCACCCTTCAAAAAGTGGGGGGGGGGACCAGTCCCCCTGTCCCCCAGGATTGACACCCATGGCGTCATGTAGATCAATGATAATTTTTTTAGAAACTCAAAATCTCAAGGGGGGGGGGGGGGGCGACAAGGTTTCATGGGGGGGGCGGTCGCCCCCCCCCCCCCCACGCACCCCCCCCCCACGCCTTTTCAGGTTTGGGTCGTGCACAAACAAAATTGGAGTTTTGACCGCACTGCTTTCCCGCACTGAAATTGCCGTCAAAATTCCCCTTACATTTGAAGCACGTTTCTTGGTAAAGGCGTATCCAGGAGTGGGGGCTCCCCCGCCCACCAACAAATTCCCAGCGCCTACCCGGTGCCACCCCCCCCCCCGGAAAAGGACTCCAAACTTGCTCCTCGCCAGAAAAGCATCATTATGAAGAGAGAGCCCTCGATGTTAATTATTGCATAATGATCGTAGATGATCTGAGTAAACATAAGTTGTTGACCAGTAAATAAACCGTCAAAGACCCCAGTGATAAAATCGCACACTTCCGAAATTCGGGGGGGGGGAATTCTCACAGCTCTCCAAGGTGTTTGATACACACATCAATTAAAGCTTATTTCATCATCTTTCATTTTCTGTTCAATGTTTGAGGGATTAACCGTTAACCAATGACTTTTGGGGAGCAAAATCAAAAGATAATCGTCCCTAAAAGTAGTCCTGTAGCCCATCTCCATTTTGAAAAATGATGCCTGCGCTCCATTGCAAAAACAGAGCAATTTAACTTAAGGCTCATTTTCATCCAAACTTTTACAAAAATACGAGCGCGCAGTCCCGTTCACGGCTTCCAACTTTCCAACTTTCCAAAGTTCATGGCCCAAAATTATTATTATTCTGGTTTATTAAAACATTGTGTTTGCAGCCAGGGGCTAAATTGCAACAATGCGTACAATAAAAAATGATAAATAAATATATAGAAATACAAATTTACTAAAAAAATTACCATCTTACATACAAATATCAGAAAACAGTAGGCCTACATGAATAAAAATTATTATAGACTTGCACATCAGAATATTTAAGCGCCCTCTTTCAGAAAATAGCACAAGTCGATTAAAAAGGGAGTATTATATACTGTTCTAATGTCATGGCATGCAAATCGTGATTCGGCCGGCGTCGCGTAGGCAATACTTGGACCTATTTTCTGGCCCGTATGGGAGGATGGTCAGCCCCCTCAATTGGCTGTAAGCAAGCACAAAATAATTCCCAAGAAACAATGTAATCGCATCCAATTCTTTCTAATCACCACATTAACTAGATTGTAATGCACCGGTACCTCTTAAAAGGCTCTATGGTTTGTGCACAAACATGTATGCACGTCCCGAAAGGCTTCATTGCGTAGAACAAGTTGACCCTCTATTCAGGGTGTTTCAAAAAAAGGAAACCCAACTTCAAAGAATGAGTATGGACAGACGATACGTTTACTGGCTATAAAACTGGTATCATCTGAAAGCGTAATCTCCATGCTTTTCAATGATACCGTGTTTAGGTTTTCTGAGTCATGCATCACTGAGCAATATTGTCTTGAAAACTGGATGCAAAAATGCAGTTGGTTCACTTTCCGCATAAAAAAAAACACTGGGCAAGGTGTGCCTATTGTTACGGAAATGTCTGTAAAATGGCTTGAATGTTAATCCTCGGGAAAAAAGCACATTGTTTTGAACGTGGCTTGGTCACAACGAGAAATTCATGACAAACAATAAAATCCAATTTTGAAACCAACCCGACTTGTTTTTTGGTTTCTTTTTATGCACTCGTGTCTTCTTCAATTTTGCATCAAAATCGCATGACAGTGGCGCTCAGTGATGCATGACCCTGGAAATGTAAACATGGTATCATTGAAAAGCATAGAGATTACGCTTTCAGATGATACCAGTTTTATAGCCAGTAAAAAAATAGTCTGTTCATACTGGTTCTTCAAATTTGGGTTTCCTTTTTTATTAAAACACCCTGTAGAGTTTCCTACATTATTACGCTTTTTAACGAAAAAAAAACATTTAGGGAAGATACATTTGCAAACATCAAAAAAGAAAATGATCCAATTATCAGGAGATACCTGACTAGATTGTCAGATTTTTGAGATTATGAAGACAATTTATTTTATTATTTTGCTTAGAATATACTTTTGCTCTTAAAACGTTTAATTGTTCTGAAAAGTGGAGAACCCTGTATATTTATCTCCATGTTTGTTCCATTTAATTCTAGAAAAAGAATTGTATCATTACGCATGACATCACATGTAAATTATTGTTGCAAGGCTGCTTTCTTACATTTGGTAAATTCCGTCGTGTATGTTTTGTTTTATTTTCCGAGCCTTACGGCGTGGGGCCACAGGACCAGGGGCCCGCTTTAAGGCCCCGGAAATGTTGGATTCTGGATGCACTGTGATGAAATATACTGGTAGTATACTGAAACTTATAAAACCAAAAAGGATGTTTTTTGGTTTAAATTAAAACAAATGGTTCCACTGGAATTTCTGTTCATAAATATATTCACATAGTTCTAACTCACCTAACGATGTGGCTCTCGATATATTTGCAGTGTTATTTTGTTTGTTACAGGGAATGGCAAATATAAAAGACTAAAAGACTAAATGTATCTTTATGTTTATGATCGGTAGATGGCAAGTTTGGGGCTACAGGCAAGGATTTATTGGTCTACAGAATTGTTTTATGAGGAAAAACTTGCAGAGGGTAAAACATGAATTTTATTTTTATTACAACGAAACTACACTGGAATTGGCGTAATGCATGAGTGGTTTCAATTAAAGCCCGTCCCACTCCTATTTAGGTTGCTTGGGGATGTGAGTGAACCTTGCTATTTGTTAATGCTGAGTACAGAATGCTTGCAACGTCAATGAAACTTTTAAATGAAAAGAAAAACCTTCAGGGAAATGGTATGAACATTTGCCCCTATTTGGGAAGGAAACACAGGCGTTGCAAATCATGGTGGGTACGTGCATCTCGTGCTCAAGGGTCGAGCACACGCGGAAGTGCCGGGTCACTAAGTATACAAAATGAGTGCTCAAAGAAATAGAGATATTAAGAGCGAACATAGGCAACCTGCATATACGACGCCAAAGTCTGTACTGCACTCTTGCTACATATTCCACAATCCACAATTTTCCACGATCCCACGCAAGGAGTTTGTGTCATCATCACGAGTTGCTCCCAGTGGTAAAGAACTCCTTCACGTCCCGCTTGTACCAACTGATGATTCCCGCCCGGTCCAGACCCTTTAAAATGGCCACCTCGGTGTCGATGTCGTGGGCGTGTTTGTTCATACCGACGCGCTGATACTTGCCGTCGGTATAATACAGGGAGTACTTGACGGTGTAACCCATTCCGTAGACGCTGACTTGGTCGCAGCCAGAGTGAAAGGCAGCCAGGAGCATTATGCCACCCGTGGTGGGACGGTAGGACTTTATGGGGGAGTTCACCCATCTGGAAAACACAAGAATAAGAGGCAAGACGTAAACTGGATTGTCACTTGTCTTTAAGATAAAATTCAAACGCTGTGTGAACTCGGCTTTATGAAGTTTCGTTTTATTTTATTTCATTTCATTTATTACTTTCTCAGGTAAATATCAAACAGAAAAATTTTAAAAAGAAGAGATGCACAATTTTCACAGAAAAAAAAATCAAAAAGCGCCTTTCAAAATTTACAATATAATAATTATATCTACAGACAAAACAAACAATACAAGCCCAGCATCCCTGACGGATTGGCTATAAATAAACTTAATTACTATCAAGTATAGCTCTCCTGCTGGTGCTTTAAAAAACTTAAAAGATGAAAACAAAACCAGGTGCTGCTTCATTTTGCATCTATTTTCGTTGAATTGCCATGGGAAAAGTAGCCGAATACAAGACATGTCAAATTCGAACGTAACCCAGAAGTATTTCATACTACGGCTCTCAACACGGTGTCGGACTTCTCTACACGGATCGAGAGTTCTCAACCCACCTCCCTAGAAGGGACTCGTGTCAGTGTTTTTCTGATTTCGGGCCCATTCATTCGGGACGTGTCACGTCGAAGGCTAAATTATTTTGTGAACTTCTAGCACCATCGAAATTATATACGAAGAACGCACGAGAAACCAAGTGTGGAATTGAAATTAAGCTAACATTCTCATTTGAACTTACATCTTATTGATGTATCTTATGAAGTCTGGATGCAGGATTCTAACATCTTGAGCGGCGGCTTTAAGCTTTGGATCCTTGCCTCGCACAACTGAAGTGATGTATTTGTAGTCGTTGTCCCGGCACGGCACGAATACGTAAATTATTCCCTGAATTTCGTGAAGGAAAGCAAACAAAAGTCTTCTTCTTTTTTTTTAACTGTTTTTGGTGAATTTGAAAAGCGCAACAACGATTTAGATGATAACTGACATTTTCCCCTGTTATTTCATGTTTAAGAATGAATCCCTGATTATAGCTCTGCAAGTATCACAAAATCGCCCAGGATAAAAATCGCCAAGTATGGATAATATATCATTGAATAAACTGAAGCCATTTTGATCAATGCAAGCCTGTTAATACGACCTTAGCATCATTGCATGCATTTGTGAAAGAGCAGTTCAGGACAGCTGAACAAACATGCTACAATCGCTCCTACCTTATCTTTTGGGACGTCCGCTGCATTGGTAGCGCGTAGAGATCGGTCATAGAAAATGTAATGTGTTGTGCGACTCCCAACATCCCTTTCATGGTTTCGTCTAATAGCCTTGTTAACACTGGATGCAAAATTAATACAATTCAATACAGTGTATCAGAAAAAGAAGGTTTATAATTCAGCGTCACATTACTAATGTATTGGCATCCAATAATCTCTTTTGTGGAAAAGGCACCTGATAATTTATCAAGTCGCCAAAGAATACATGTGCATTTTACAGTCATTTTGACGGATTTTCAGTTGCATTGAGCTGATGAAGAATGCTTTCACCTACCAAGAGGTGTCACCTCTATCAATCCTTGACCTTTTCCATTCAGTCGGAATAGATAAATAACCAATGAAAGCAAGTGAACGATAACAAAGGAATTCCCTTTTCAAGCTATTTGAATAGGTTATGAGTCGCGGTCCTATCATGCCGGGACTGTGACTGACTATGTACATGTAATGGACTTGTTTATGCATGTACCACGACTACAACACGTACGGTTGCAGACCAGTAAATAAACTTCCATAAACCCCAATGGTAAATGCTCCCACTTCAGAAATTCGGGGAAAATACTCACAACTCAATTTTTTGGGGGTCAACTGATGACTTTTAGGAGAAATTTCCATCCGAAGATGATCACCCCTGAAAATAGTCCTGAAGCCCATCGCCATTTTGAAAAACGATGCCTACACTCCATTGCAAAATAGAGCGCTTTAAGGGCCCCAATTTCATCCAAATTGAACGGAACTACAAGCTCACAGTCCTGTGCACGGCTTCCACCCATATTTTTTACAAACCCTCAAGTTCATGGCCCACAGCATGCTCAAATACTGAAGATTTTGAGGGGATGCAAATCGTGATTTGGCCGGCGTAGGCAATTTCGGACCGATTTACTGGTCTGCAACCGTAGGGGCAAGTGTCAACCGGTTGCAAGTTTGACTGTTCTCCAGTTAAATAATACATTTCATATTTTCATTTTAAATTTCGAAACTGTGGATGGGCCTTACCGGAAGACCATGTGATGGTTGTCAATCTCTGCACCTTTCCGGGATCCTTTGAGTATGCCGCCATTACCGACGACTGCACAGGACAGACATTCAGGCCGGGGATGGTCGTTTGAAAATTCGAATATGGAATTTTTTGGTGGAAAGATTTTGAGCGTAGACAGATAGACTAATGGTACAAGAAAAGGAAGAAGGAAAGCTAAAATTTAACCTGCGGTCATGGAGGTTTACATGACGTTCAGGGAGCTTTAAGTCATTTTGTGTGTGAAAGATATTTGTCAATAAGTAGTTCCATTAATGGTTAGAGAGTTCGGACATGAACACACACAAACAGAAAATCAAGCTCCAAAACCATTACAATGCGCCGTGAAAATCGGCATATCTTTACCAGTATGCATAATAATGGTCAGTTTTGAAGAGCGTCCTCATTTGGAAGATGGGTACCAGCGCCCCCCCCCCCCCCCCCGCTTTTTACGGAGTCTAAGTGTCAGGAGAAAAAAAAAACACTTGTCAACATTTCGGTGCGGATGTGCAAGTGCGCCCCCCCCCCCCCCCGACATCAAAAGCTGATTACGTCACTGCAAGATCAGTGGTATTCAAAATGGTCAGCTTGGCATTAGAAATGTTCATTTGATTTGTAGACGTTGGACTCGGTAAACGCAAGATAAATACTTTGGCGCAAAATCCGCGGAATTGGGTACAAACTGAAAATCCCGCGTGTCAGCCTGGGCAGGACTGCCAAGCCGTCTTTATAACAGGAAAACGCCGTAATTCAAGTTGATGGGGTCCTTCTTAACACGATCCCTTGTTTTCTGGAAATACTGCGTCGTGTCCATACATGGCGAATTTGAAGCCTTACCTTCATAGCCCGACTGATTCGCCCTGTATTTGTAACCGAATGGCATGTAATAGGGGCTCAGTCTTTCGTACTCGGACTCGTTTAGTAGTTCACTGTTCGTTAGCAAGTGAATCTCTGGGTGGAATATTGTACGGCCCCTCCCATTGTTGGACATTCTCCGCTGAATTGAGGTCGGGCATTTCTGTAAAACACAAGTCAAGGGAAAGCAAAGTAAAGCCAGTGAATCAAAGAAGATATACAGACAAATACTTTTGCAAAGGGATATGCCACCATTTGTTACGCGAAGTGAGCCGTTGAAATATCGACAAGCTGCATATAAGCGACCACAGAATTGCTTTGTGGAATGTAACATTATTCTGTGCAGCATTTTTATTTCATTCTTCACAGTGACAGTTAATATTCTTAAAACAATGGAGAGGCAGAAACTGAAGCAACGAGATATCCCTAAAAAAAAATATTTTCCTAAAACAAAGCCTCAAAATGGAGCATGGGTTCCATCAGTATATACTGTATGCGTAATGTTTGGTCAGAAGCAGGTGGTCGTGACTGGTCCAATAACATCAATTCCATCCCATCAAAATTAAAGATCCAGAAAGGGCTTTTGGATAAAACTCATGGTAGAGTATTTCGACCCCACCAATTAACAAAAATAATAATCTATGAATTCCCGCAAAAAAAAAAAAAAGCTTAGGAATAGGGCTGAGGGGTAAACACCACCAATTAACCGGGTATGGTGTACACAACGTGAGGGGAGCTATGATCACATGAGCTCTCCCGTGGCACATGCACCACGGTCGCGCGCAATTAAGCTTGCTTTGTCTCACCGATGGAACATAGCCTGGATTTTTCCTGAATTCAAGCTCCTGTCCTTCTCCTCCTTTGAAGGTGACAAATTCCCCGGACTCAAGGAAGGTTTCCCAGAAGAAACGATTTGTGTAATTGTCAGCAGCCCAGGGTCTGGTAACATGACCAAAAGAAAACATTATTGAGTTAACAACAGGATCAGATAAGACTCATTTTGCTGTACCCTGACACCATTTCTAAAGCACCAAGTGCGGCAAGAGGAACAGTCTAGGCCCTAGACGTCAATGATCAAAAGCGATAGAAGCGATGTTCTGTAGCGCCCTTGCATGATTGCTTTTTGACGTTCCCTCATTAACGTCTTGGTCATTTCGTAGCACTGGAGGCGTGGCCATTTTAACAAAACGGTATGTTCCCATTTGCCGCAGTATAATCGCGGGGTATCACTGCGTTGCATAATTAGCGATGATGCTTGCTCACTGCACGTATAGAGCGAATGTTTACAGTCGTCGGGCGAGCCATTAAATCTCGATCGCTGATTGGTTCCCTATGGGGGGATGATGCTGTGTCACGTACTGCACGTGTATAGCACGTTTGTTTAAAACCGTCTGGCGAGCATTTCTCGATCGCTCATTGGTTCCCTAAAGCACCGAGTGCTGCAAGGCTAAACTTACTGAAGTGCCTGATTAGTCGGTGGTGTCGGTGTGACAGAATGGTTGCAGGTCAAGCCAGTGCAATTGGGACCTCGCATCATCATGCTGTCGAGAAAAAAAATTAAAGAAAAAGGGTTCATAATTATTATAGGCTAAACACCATTGCTGGATACGAAATGGCAGAGACGTTAGTGCGAGTAAGTCTGAGTATCATCCTTTAGGGAGAAAAGAAAGAAAACGTTAAACCGCTTATACGAAATTGCCGAGACGTTAGTGCGAGTTAGTCTGAGTATCACCCGTTATCCACGGAGCCAAGTCTCCTGTATAACGTCTGAGCATGCAGATTTATGCGATCTCGCGCCTCAGCCAATCGGAGTCGACTTTACTAAATCGTGACGTCTTTCACTTCAAAATCAGTACTTAAACTGTGATTGGTCAATAACATAATGCATAATTTAAAAAAAATGACAAATGTTCCGGTATCTTCTCGCATTAATGCATACAATAAGATGAGGCTAAACTTACTGAAGTGCATGATTAGTCGGTGGTGACGGTTTGACAGAATGATTGCAGGTCAAGCCAGTGCAATTGCGACCTCGCGTCGTCATGCTGTCGAGAAAAAATTAAAAGAACAAGGGTTCATAATTATTATAGGCTAAACACCATTGCTGTGAATTGGCAGGTGGGTGATGGTTAGTTTTGGGATATTTAATTGGCTGTTAGACCATGTTAGTACGGGGAGACATTTAAATGTTACAGCCTCATTCCTCTTGGGGAGGAGAGAATGGTTTAAGAATGTGTACCAATGACATTAGAACTCAAGAGTTTGTTTTTGTGTGAAGTTTCCTCGTGTACCTGTTTGTACCTCTACCCGTACTAATGAAACAGTGGCTATCAAGAGGGGGGCAGGGGGCACCTTGACCCCCCCCCCCCTCCCCCTCCCCCGGGCGGATTGTTTTTGTGAAAGATATTTTTTTTTCAGTAAGTATTTCCATATACTTTAGAGAGTTTTGACATCTACCCAAAGAAAAGTGCCCGGAGTAAAAAAAAAACATTTTTACATTTCGGCGCGGATGTGCGGTCCCCCCCCCCCCCCCACATCAAAAGCTGGACACGCTACTGTACTGAAACAACTCGAAACAACTGAGATAATATTCAAGCATGTTAATTTCTTCAATTTCGTTATTTCTGCAGCTGAATAATACAGGCTACCACAACCATTAAGCAACTGGACGCAACGCAAGGGATCATCCGGAATACAATTGAAAATTGAAAATATTATCAAAACGAAACGGGAATAAAGCAATGATAATCATGCATGCATTGACGGTTCGCTGAAAGAAAAAGAAACACATAGAAACAACCACTGATAATCGACTGTCTCTTTCACTTTGCAACAAAAGACGAAAAGTGTCAACGGTTGCTGTACATCCTGTGAATGCTTCACGTGATTAATTCATGACTCGTTTTCGAATTGTATAGATGTCAGTTTGTTTAGAATTATTATAAATATACGGTTATCGTTGCTATGTTTGCTATTTTCTTCTGTTAAAAAAAATAGAAAAGGGTATCATTCTTGAACCGATGGTGTTTCTAAAAAAATCCCAATAATTAACCCTCCTAGTCGTCTGAACGTCACAAGGCTTCGAATTCTGCAAACCATTTTTGCCCAGAATTTACCCAACCTTCTGTGGAGTGTGGATATTCGACTACAAACCCCTGAACAATTCTTTTGTGTGGTATGCAGCTCACGTATGCGATGGATTCGATAGCGCTTCATTTATTTGCATTTATATTCTGTAAACGATTAATGTGATTAATTCATGACTCGTTTTCGATTTGTAAATGTCAATGTATTTAAAATAATTTTAAATATACGGGTATCGTTGCTACTTTTGTTATTTTCTTATGTTAAAAAAATAGAAAAAGGCTATTATTCTTGAACTAACGGAGCTTCTATAAATCCCAATAATTAACCCTCCTAGTCGTCTGCACTACAGGCTTCAAATTTTGCAAACTATACATACTGAAATTTGTTTCATTGTGGAGTCACATGTCCTTGTTCTCGTGTACTTAAATTTTACAATGTGAAAATCTACTTTCAAAACCCTCACTATTTTAACCAGAATTAATTTCCTGGGCTGAAATTCGGCCTTAATATATCCCTAATACATAAAATACTTCAATTTGCGATGGATCAACACACCTTGGAAATTCTTACTTTTTTTTTAAAGTAAAATCCATAGTACATTGTATCTATGTCGTGATAACCTTGTGGAGACGCATTCACCTATAGCAAATTGCCCTGTGGAGACGTATACAATATTTTGTTCCCTAATCCCTAGTAGTAGTATACCCATGTCTCCACGCCCACACTTAGCTTATGGGGTACCACTATTCTTTGACCCTGACCCCCTTGTTTTGTTCTCTTTTGTCCCCTTGGAAATCTTAAAATATAGCCTATGGGGTGCTTCAATGTCTAAAGACAGACTTGCGGGGTACCATTGTCCCTGCCAATATGTCAGAGCAGGGTACCGTATATCAAATCACCTTTGCCCAGAGTTTACCCAACCTTCGATGTGGAGTGTGAATATTCCACTACAAACCCCTGCAGAATTCTTTTGTGTGGTATACCTGTATATCGGTACAGCACGTATATGCGAAGGACTCCATCGCGCTTCATTGCATGCTCTCCGCAGTGTGTTGTTGTTTTGGGGTTTTTGGTAGTGACTGGTTCAGTGGGTTTATTTTTATATGCATTAGACAAATATTTTATGATGTGGGGCCATTGCAAACTCACCCGTTCATAGACGTGGCAGCCATTGTGAAAATAATGAGAGAGTGCAACTAGCACTTTTATTTACATGTAAGTAGGGCCTAACGCCTGTCACGCGATCGTTTCCTTGCGCCTCTGATGCGACCACAATGCGCGTGCAAATTATAGCCAGAAAATTCAGGCACCGCACAGTCAGGCCTTGGTTTTCAATTAAGGAAATAGACATCTATTTCATCTAAACAAATATCTTGGAGCAGGTAGTAAATATGGCACTGCACTTGAAATACAACTACGTTTGCCATTCAATGTCACAACTGAGTGCACTCACTATACCTGTAACTAAGTTTTGGAGACGATAACAGTTTTTGAGACTTGGTCCTCAAATTAGAATTGTTCATCAAAGTGGTTCAACTAAAAGCAGGATGGTAAGAGACTTTGTGGTTATAAGTTTGGATTTTCCAATGCAAGAACTTCACAAACGCATCCAAAATCTCAAAATATTGTGCAGATATGCCAAATAATTATAAACAGCTTTCCACATTATGGCCATTAATACCCTCGCCCACTCCGAGCATGAAAACAGTTCCTGCTTGGACTACAGGTTATGTAGTCCAAATGAGAAGATTAGAGACACGTGGACACATATCCCCGCTTCCTATAGTGTGAAGTCGATATTCAGAGCAGATGTAAAATCATTTCACGATCACTAAGTCAATGTTTGGCTACATTTTAAGTGCCGGATCTTTGTAACCCTTCAGGTGAGTTTTAGGGGCGGTTATGAGGTGTTAACTGGTAAATCGTATGTAGGACTTTGCACCAGAACTGTTTAGTTGTGTTCTTTTAAAGTCCCTATAGATAAGACTACTTGCAAGAAGGGGCGGATCTAGGATTTTTTGTAGGGGGGGGGGGTTCCCTCAGCAAATGAATGCTGAAAAATAAAGGGTTTTTCGTACCATGCTTTCAATGGGAGCACTGTTCAAATCCGACGATCGTGAAAATATATAACCTATTACAGAATAGAGTACAGATACCCCTATAAGGAGTTACCCCAGCTGGCTCAGTCCGAATGTTGTGCACAGGCGGACATTATTACCGGTATAACTGTCGTAATTTCTTTGGCACCCGCAAGTTGGCACCAAATGGCCACCACTTACTTTTAAAAAGGGCACTTGTTCAGAAACAAAGGGCACTTGTTATAAAAAGTCACTCTTTACAAAATATTGGGGGTAAGCGCTGGTGAAAAAAGGGCATTTAAATAGAAAAGGGCAGTCTTAACAAAATATTGGGGGGGGGGAATACCCCCCTTACCCCCTCCCTCCCGCTACGCCTATGTATTAGCATTATAAATCCTGAAGCATAATGCAACTGCTACTATAAATGAATACTTTGAGATAAGAGTATGATTGGTTGGACAAACGCTATGCACAGAAATGAAAGAAAATGTGTACATATCTCCTCAAGGACGAGGAATCGAGTACTTTTGCAAAATCTCAGACATTTTTAGCAAATCAATTTTCCAAATTTTAAATTCTTACCCATTTATACACGACTATATATATTCAAAACTCAAATAATCAGACCGCCAGAAAATGAGGTCCTCAATTGCATCCTGGCGAATTGGACACCAGTTATACCACTGCTTACAGGCATATACATGTAAAACGTTTTTTGGTGACATCTCTTGAGTGGTTTTGAACTTCATATAAACGCCTAGTATACCTATATTTACCCACCTTCTGTTCCCAGTGTAAAGGTGACGTGTTGCCGTGGATTTAACGAATAAACTGTTTCCAGTATAAAGGTGATGTGTTGCCGTAGATTTAACAACTACACTGGAAGCAAATAAGTACATCGAAGCTACGAAGAAAACGATGTAGGCCGTGATCAACCGGTTGATCAAGCTTTGGTTGCACCGTGGAATGAACGGTATTGACCGTGTAATAAGGCTCCGAGATTGCCGGTGACGTCGGCTCATTGTTGAAACGGGAATACGGTATATAGCTGAAGCGTAGTTAAGTCTGCTTCTTTAGTAAATATTGAGCAAAATTCAATCAACAGGTTCCGTGTTCTTGTAATTATCTTGCGTCCGTAATCAAAGTCGTTTCTTTATGGGCAGTGATTTCGCCGAACTCCTTTCACAGGGTAATTATCCACACCATTTTTAACGACGGTCTTCTGCTGGTATCACAATACATATCGTGTTGACAGCTAGGTTTGCCGACATGATTGGCCCATCATATCATTTCCAAATGAACGCCTTCTGTTCTAGATCACCCATCATCACATCCAAATGCTATGTGAAGAGACAAGATACACAGTGTAGACAACTGAACTCGTACTTCCACGGCCACCGCTGGTTTGGTATTATTGCAGAGACTACCACGGCCAAGTTTATCTTTGTCCTGAGGTTGTACACATCCGGTTGGTATTTTAGCGTGTAACATGCATTGAAAATAAATGTACATCGACCAATGCAATCCGAGTTGCCCACCTTTTTTTTTATCATACTTCATGAGCTTGCCTTCAGTGTATGGTTGTGGTATTCTATTCCTTCCTCCATGTTCACACAATGCACCCATTTTTTTACAGTCGTGTATGTGACGGTTCGTCAGACATGGAATCATTCTAATAATATGTCTATACTATACCCGGACCGTCACCGGAGAATAAAGGGTCACAGTGAAATTGCCTACAAGTCTGGATCGGAACAAAAGAGCCAACAATACAATAGAAATAAACTGGCCCCAAGTCCTCACACTTTCCGCCACAAGAGAGATATTTACATACTGACTAGTATCTCTCACATCTGTGGTGTGCCAAGTCATGGAACACATAATTCACGACCAGTGATGAAGCACTTGGAACATCATAAAATTTTCAGTGTTGTCGTCGAGTACTTTTTCCGAGTACCGAGTACTGCCGAGTACTTAGGTTGCCGAGTACGAGTGCGAGTACTTGTACCTCCGAGTACAAGTGCAGGTCTCCGAGAACGAGTACTTATAAGCAGACAAATTAAAAATCACAAACAACACAGAAAATTTGTGTGTCTACGCCTCAGCCAGAAGGTTTTTATTCCAAAAATGTCGGGTACCGAAATTTGGGCAGCCGACCCATCATCCATGTAGCACACTATTATTATTGTCAATATTCACATTTTGGGCACCACAAAGGCCCAGAGCACCAATAGCTCATCCGAATTAAAAATGTGAAGTAAAATTTGCTATCCAAGTTGTTTGTTCAGAGGCTGAGACAAAAGTGACTGGCCAGCAACTTTTCCATCCCGCCTAAACTTTCTTCTTCTAGAATGTAAAGAACCAACCCTACGTCTCATTGGCCCATAGCCAGGCCTTGCCAAGTGTCACAGAACAAGAATTCTTATTGGTTGGTTGCCCCTCCAAGCCTTCTCAGCAATTGGTTAAAATTCGTGGCTGTTGATTGGCTCTTCTCCTGTTTACAGGATCTCACTTTTGTCACAAATTTGTCAATAGGTTTTCATGTACAAAGTTCTTCATACGAAAGTACAGTATGAAATGCATTCACAGTGATCGAGATGTGTGTGCATGGAGTAAGCCTACATTTTGCACAACACAAAAAATATAACCAACAGGAGAAGATCAATGGAAATTTTGCTGCTTATAAATAATTTGATCCTTTAGTGATAAAATTGATTGTGGTTGCGGACCAGTAAATCGGTCCGAAATTGCCTACGCCGGCCAAATCACGATTTGCATGCCCTCAAAATCTTCAGTATTTGAGCATACTGTGGGCCATGAACTGGAGGGTTTGTAAAAGATATGGGTGGAAGCCGTGCACATGACTGTGAGCTTGTAGTTCCGTTCAATTTGGATAAAATTGGGGCCCTAAAAGCGCTCTATTTTGCAATGGAGTGTAGGCTCGTTTTTCAAAATGGCGATGGGCTTCAGGACTATTTTAAGAGGTGATCATCTTCGGATGGAAATTTCTCCTAAAAGTCATATGTTGACCCCCCGTAAATTGAAAAGAAAATGAAAAATGATGAAATAAGCTTTAATTTTTCTCGAACACCTTGGAGAGTTGTGAGTATTTTTCCCGAATTGCTGAAGTGGAAGCATTTATCATTGGGGTCAATGGAAGTTTATTTACTGGTCTGCAACCTTGTACTTCCGAATACGAGTTAGCCTTGGTCAAGGCGTTCGTCATTATTCGTCCATTATGCGGTAAACGATCGGCGGCATCCTCGCTATGCGCACTAAATACAGCGCAAACAACGACCTTATACTGCCACTATTTTATGCAAATCATTTGGATCTGATCGAACGCCTTGGTCCAATCGTCCGCAAAAGCTTATCTTTTTCTTCATTTTGCGCTAGATTTCCAGCGCACGCTCTCATTATGCGAATACAGATAAGACTTTGAGTAGGTGGGGCTAATATGTGGAGTGTCCAATCACGCCTTGGTAAATCTCGACGTCATCGAATCATTTTTCAGCTACATGTATTCGCCCTTTTGCGGACGTGTCAGATACCACATTTTTTTTTGTATTGGCGCTGTGCCATTGTCAGTGGGCTTTAATACGGTATTACTATTAGTCTAGACGTTGTTATTTTCGTGTTCAGTCCCACACTACACAAAACAAAAGAGCTGACCCGCAGTGCACGTTGCACGAACGTCTTGCTGCATCTTTCGCATAACTGGAAGAAATGTGAGAGTTTGCTTCGGAACTTATATGATTTTTTTTGCTGACCCTTTTATGGGCGGGCCATGACTTTAGAAAGTTGGGGGGGGGTTTCGTGCGCAAAAAAAAGATTCAGATAATTTCTCCTTTTTTTAGCATTTGGACAGCTCACCCAAGAGCTTAAGCACGAGAAAAAAAAATCCAGAAATTTTCCTCTTCAGGGGTGGGGCCACATTTCATACAAGCAAGAGCAAATGTCATAACCAGAAAATCGAGCTGTGACAGACTTTTTGGGGTGTTTTTGGTTTTTGTTTTCATTCAGTACAGAAAACCGGCCCGACAGAATGCTTGCTTGTCAAATCATAAAAAATGTTCCTTTTTGGGGGTGTGTCACCCCCTTTTTATAAAAAGGGGGCAAATTCCAAAAGTGGGCTTGGGGGAGCCCATATGCATTTCAGGTATACATTCTTTGAAACTCAAAGGATCACCTATGGACACCTCAACAAGTCCAAAAAAATTCGTTTGGTCCCCTTTTTCCAACGCCCTAGGGTTGCCAATTTGAATTTCTGAATGGCAGCCTCTTTAAACATCTATCCTACATATTGTACACATATAAATTGATAAAGAAATCGACTTTTGAGACATTTATGTCTTGGTCTTTTATATTGTATCCTGAATACAATGCTGGCCTCCTTGGCAGTGTACACTCAAACTGTAACAGCCATTTTAAACTTCAAAATGGCCGGGGACTTTACAGTTTATATCAAAGATATATCATTTACACCCATTGGAAAAGGTCTAAAAAATGACATAGTTCAATAAGTCAAAGAGCAATAAGTTATCAAGCTCAGATGATTAAGCGAATGAAATATAAATCACTTGTAATTTGACATAAGTTTGACAAGGCATTTGATATCTATGACCTCATTCAGAAAGAAAAGCTTGAGACCGACGAGTATAGTTTCACAAGTTAAATCCAGATCTGGGTGGATTACACAAGATTTGTGTTGCATGTAATGTATTTATGTATATTTGAACTGGTTACATGCTTTCCTGAAATCGTATCAGTCATTGTATGAGTTCGCAAAAAGTGTCAGCATCAGGGTGGCTGGCTGTATTTGCACACATCTCTTCACTCACATCTGCACAGTTCAGTGCTTTGCAGGAACATCTTGCAGTTGCACAGTAATTGTAGGTGGAATAGACCCGATACCTAGACGTCACGCTTTGTTTACATGTGCACTTTCCTATGAGAGTTAGGTGGGGATTGGGGAGACATCATTGCAGAGAAACTGTCAAAAACCAGTTTGTCCATATGCAAGTCTATGACACCTGGTCAAAACAATAGCACTGCATGCACAAAGAACTGCCATAACGATGCCCAAATACATGCATGTGGACAAACTGCTATCTGACATTTTTGTGAACATGGCTTCACAAAATTTATTTTCGATGCCATTTTCACCATACAGGGGGCCTAACACCAAAATCTTGTAGATTAGGTAGGCCTATATCTTAAAACAATTTCAATATGTCTCCCCAATTTTGAGAAATCTGCGTCTGAAAAAGTGTAAACTTGTTTTTGGCAACCCTGCAGGTCTATCTCTGTGGTTGTATATCACAACTTGCGTAGTGCGAATTAAGGAATTATATACCAGTTGATGCTGTGGAATCATGCACTGTTCAATCGGGCATCATGCACTTTAATTTGGTCGGAATCCTATTTAAGGGCTCGCAAGCGGGCCACCAGGGGTGAACTATCTATCAGGCTCTATTCCTCTCACGAAAATTTGGGAAGGAAACACAGGCGTTGCAAAGGATGGTGGGTACGTGCATCTCGTGCTCAACCCAGTATACAAAAAGAATGCTCAAAGAAATAAGGGCTAAAGTATAGACAACCTATAGTAACGACCCCAAAAGTCTGTATTTTGCAGTACACCCTTTGCTTTACGACGATCTACCGCAAAGAGTATACTGTTAATGTCATCATGAGTTGCTCCCCGTGGTAAAGAACTCCTTCACGTCCCGCTTGTACCAACTGATGATCCCCGCCCGGTCCAGACCCTTTAATATGGCCAACTCGCTGTGTATGTCGTGGGCGGTGTTGCGTCCTTTCTCTATTTTCATACTAATGCGACGAAACACGGTGTCGGTATAGTAAAGGGAGTACTTGACGTTATAACCCATTCCGTAGACGCTGACTTGGTCGCAGCCAAAGTGAAAGGCAGCCATGAGCATAATGCCACCCGTGGTGGGACGGTAGGACTTCTGGGGGGAGTTCACCCATCTGGAAAAACACCAGGAGAAGAGGCAAGACAGTGGATTGTCACATATCTTTGAGATAAAATTCCATGAGCTGTGTGACCTCAGCTTTATTAACTTTTCATTTTATTTCATTTCATTTAATATATTGATTTTCTCAGGTAAATACAAAACAGCACAGTTTAAAAAGAACATTATGCACAATATTCACAGAAAAAAACACACACATGAAAAATCGCCTTTTAAAATTTACAAAAAACAATTAAAACTACAGACAAAACAGAAACAATACAAGCACAGCACCCCTGACGAATTGGCTAAAATCAGTTTCAGTCATGTTCCCTTCATCCAATAACAGTACTGAATGATAACTTGTTTGTGCAAAAAGGAACCTGACTATTCCAGCCTCACTTTGGTTACATTGATTTGAATAGGAAAAAAATCAAATGGCTGCAACATGGTAATGGTCTATATCGTTGTCACGTGCCAAAGCTAAGGACAACAACGTCCGTGTCAGACGCGTGAAAAATGGCTAGCTTTCTCGTAATTATGAAGTGCTTACATTTTATTGATGTATCTTATGAAGTCTGGATGCAGGATTCTAACATCTTGAGCGGCGGCTTTAAGCTTTGGTTCCTTGCCTCGCACGACGGAAGTGATGTATTTATAGTCGTTGTCCCGGCACGGCACGAATACGTAAATTAATCCCTGAATTTTGTGAACGAAGGGAAACAAAGTCAGTTTTGAACTGAATAATAAGGAGAAGCCCAATAAACGGTTAAGATGATATACACAAGTGACAATGTTTCTGCTGTTCCATGGTTAAGAACGAACCCCTGCTCTCGATTACGGCTCTGCAAGTACAACCAACTTGCCTGGGATAAAAATCGCCAAGTATGGACGATATTGTTAAATACATAATATTCAATATTCAATGTTCAATATAATATTGAATACAACTAATCAGTGCAAGCCTATCAATATAAAACGGCCACAGCATCATTGCGTGGATTCAACGCATTTGCAAAAAGAGAAATCCAATATGGCTGAACAGTGCTACAATCACTCCTACCTTATCATTTGGGACGTCCGTTGCATTGGTCTTGCGTAGAGATCGGTCATAGAAAATGTAATGTGTTGTGCGATTCCCAACATCCCTTTCATGGTTTCGTCTAATAGCCTTGTTAACACTGGATGCAAATGATACAATCAACACAGTTCATCAAAAACAAGAAGTTTTTAAAAATCAGCCAAAGTATTCTCTCGTGCTAAGTAGTGACCTAATAATCTTATCTATCTAGAAGTGACCCGATAATATTGCCAGTCAATGATCCTGACTGGAAAATCATTTTGACGGTTTTTCAATTGCATTGAGCTGACCAAGAACGTCTAGTAAAGTGTAATTGTTTTCCTAGTCAAATTTTTACTGAGTTTCTTTTTTTAAATGCTGGGGAAACTTCAACTGACTAAGAGATGTCACTTTAACAAAGGAATTCCCTTTTCAAGCTGTAGACCTTTATTATGCTGCCACCATTTCATGTTCCCCGTATCCAATAACAGTATACTGAATGATAATTTTTTGTGCAAAAAGGAACCAGACTATTTTTCCCTTCCAGCCTCGCTTTGGTTACGTTGATTTGAATGGGAAAAATCAAGATGGCCGCACCATGATAATGGTCTATTTAAGTGGGTTGTGAGTCATGGTCCTGCAGGGACTGGTTGACCTGTGACTGACAGCCTGGTACGCCAAAAGAACTTGTGTATACCATGCACAACTACACCATGTAGGGGCAAATAATGACACTTAAATAACAAGTGATCCGCGGATCGCATGTGTCGCCTTTTTCCGCGGTCGATCCCTATATGTTTTATGTTCTTAAAACAAGTTAAATGGTATGCATTGTTAAACAACGACCTACAATGACCCCTAAATAACATTTGACCTCCAATTTTGGAAGAGTTGTGATGAACCCCCACCCAAGGATCACTCCATCCAAGTGACATTGAAATCCATCAAATTCTTCATGGACAAGGAAACATTTGAAGCATGAAAATGACCTCTAATGACCCCTACATCTTGATGTATAAAACCCGGTTCATACTTCATGCGAATGCGAATGCGAAGCGAATTTGACGTCATGAAACATTCGCTGCGAAATTTGCCCGAGTTGAAATGTGTTCAACCTTTGCGAATTCGCAGCGCGAATACTTGCCATGACGTCACAGATTCGCGTTCGCTTTCGCTTTCGCGCCGAGTATGAACCGGGCTTTACTCTCTCAGACTTCAGTATTTTCCCCTTTTTTTGCTTGAAACACCCCCGTCAATTTTTTTCTATTTAAGTATTATCTTAGTTTATTTCAATGTCTGCAAGACTATAGGTTATATAATCCAGAGAGATCCCCTTCTTGAAAGTGGAGTGATCCCTGGACAGGAAGGTGTTGTGGTTTGGGTGGTATGTGGTCCGGCATCATGGTTCAGTGCTGTACCAAACAAAGCATCTACCATCAATTCCAACCGCCCTGTCTCTTGTCGCTATCTTTCAGCTCGCCAATTCCTGGATCTTTGATCCCCTACCCCCCCCCCCCCCCTTATATACGTTTTATCAAAATCCATGAATGCCTGTATAATGTAAACTTTCAACACATTTATGAAAGAAAAATATCCCACATTAACTTTGCTACTCGACCAATGAGCCTTATATCCAAGTGTTGTGGAATTCAGGCAAATGTCTAGGAAATGAGAACATACAATTCCGAAACCTTAAAATACGGGGCTACGAACATACGGTCATAATCTAGGACCTGTTATGGTGTCTCCCAAAACAGCCGTTATACGACACAAAAATGCCAACCGGTTGCAAGTTGAACCGTTTTCCAGTCAAAAGATAGTTAACTTATCCAAAATGATGTGCAAGACTAAACGATACCAGAACAGCCCCATCCCATATTTTGTTGACCTTTTGAACACCAGTTCCAAGTCTTAACTCCCATTCATACTAAAATTTGATAATCAAAAATAAAAAAAATAAATAAAAATACAATAATACAAAATCTTATTTTATTCATGTACTGCATACTTAGGAAAAAAAAAACACAACTTTTTTATCATGTACTATTCTGGTAGAGTGCGCCTTTTTTATATTCCGATGTGCAAATCTTCACTCTTTTTTTTTTTAGAGGAACTGTATTCTGATATTTGTATGTATGATGGTAAATGTTTTAGTAGATTTGTATTTCTGATTTTGTGTTTTTAATTTGTACGCATTGTGACAATTTGGCCTCTGGCTACACAAACACAATGAATAATAAACCAGAATAATAATAATAATAATAATAATAACAAAAGTAACAATTTAATATTTTTAGATTAAATATTAGGAAGTGTGGAGGGACTTTACCGGAAGACCATGTGATGGCTGTCAATCTCTGCACCTTTCCGGGATCCTTTGAGTATGCCGCCATTACCGACGACTGCACAGGACAGACATTCAGGCCGGGGATGGTCGTTTGAAAATGCGAATATGGAAGTTTTTGGTGGGAAGATTTTGAGCGCAGCAAGGTAATCTAATGGTACAAAAAGGGAAGGAGATTATTTAACGTGCGGTTATGGTACATTTATACGACTTACAGGTAGATTTGAGTCATTTTCTAGGGGATTGGCATTACCTCTTATTTAAGTGGCAAGTTTGGTATTAGAAATGGTCAGCTTGGCATTAGAAATGTTCATTTGTAGACGTTGCAGGAATACTCAAGATACATTTTGGCGTAAAACTTTCAGAATTGAGTACAAACTGGAAAAACAATCCTCGCGTCAGCAAGGTCGGGATTCGAATCCGGAAAAAAAATCGCCACGAGTTTTCATAAGAGCAAACCACAGCTCCTTGAAGTCAGGTTGACGGGTCTGGAATGACTGCCATGTGCAAACCTGGTGAATTTGAAGGCCCAATACCTACCTTTATACCGCAACTGATCCTTCCTGTATTTGTAACCGAATGGCATGTAATACGGGCCCAGTCTTTTGAACTCGGACTCGTTTAAAAGTTTGCTGTTCATTAGCAAGTGAATCTCTGGGTGGAATATTGTACGGCCTCTCCTATTGTTGGACATTCTCCGCTGAATTGAGGTCGGGCATTTCTGCAAAACACAGTCAAGGGAAAGCAAAGTTAAGCCAATGAATCAATGAAGAATACAGACAAATACTTGATCAAAGGGATGGACCACCATTTTCTATTTACCACTAGAAGTGAATGTAACAATATTCTGTGCAGTATTTTTCTTTCAGTTTTCATAGTGACAGTGAAGATTAAAAAAAAATGAAGGGGAAGAAACTGAAGCAAAGATATATCCCTAAGGCGAAACCCCAAATGGAGAATGGGTTTCATCAGTACATGTTGCATGCATAATGTTTGGTCATTAGGAGGTGGTCTAGAAATAATATCAATTTGCATCCAATTAAAATGAAAGAACCAGAAAGGGCTTTTGGGTATAACTATTTAAATGGTATTCCCAACCCCACCCTAAAAAAAAAAGACTACGGAATTCCCGCAAACATTCAAACGGTGGAATGGGGAGGGTGTATATACGCGCCACCAATTAAACAATGCATCGTGTACAGTGCATTTTGTACAACGCGGTCGCACGGTGCGCTATGGCCGCAAAAGTGACAGAGCTCTCCCGTGGCACCTGCACCACGGTCGCGCGCAATTAAGCTTGCTTTGTCTCACCGATGGAACATAGCCTGGATTTTTCCTGAATTCAAGCTCCTGTCCTTCTCCTCCTTTGAAGGTGACAAATTCCCCGGACTCAAGGAAGGTTTCCCAGAAGAAACGATTTGTGTAATTGTCAGCAGCCCAGGGTCTGGTAACATGACCAAAAAAAACCAACAAATATTATTGAGTTAATAGGCGAAGTAAAAAAAACACCCAAGTTTCTCGTCCCCGCCCGCTTCCTTTTTGGAGGCCGCCTGGATTTTTTTATTATTTTTTATTTTTGAAAAATGTAGTAGGAAAACACCGAAAAAGTCTACAAATTCATCGGAAAATAAATACCAATACCAATACAACTCCAAATGACACTGTAAATATGTTCAGTTCTCTTGTCCAACTTGTCTTTCATCTTTAAAAGTGTCTTTGAACAGTGGAACATCAACGGTTGCAGGTAATTTTGAAAAGGCGGTCATCTTGAAAAAAAAAATAAATAAATAAAAAGCCCCGCTTCCTCCCTTTTTTCAAAAACCCGGACGAGAAACTATTTTGTTTTTACTCGGCCTTAACAAGATCAGATAAGAGTTGGTTTTGCTGTACCCTGACGCCATTTCTAAAGTACTGAGTGCTGCAAGAGGAATAGTTAACAAGAATTGAGAAATGCTTTAGCTTGGTAGAACCTACACTCTAAAAAAGAAGTGTAAATTTATGTTGTGTAAAACTGTTGTGTAAAAAAATTGTGTCATTTCTGCCCAATATTGAGCAAAATGAAAATTTCGCTTGTACCTCCTACTTGTGTCAAATGTGTTACACATGAAAAGTGTAAAATAGTACCCAACATTGACTACAAGTCCCAGCAGCACAGGCAAACAGTTAAAATCATGGTATTATTACCCAAGCGATGGGTTAAAGAAACTGGATTTACCCCACCACTGTGTAACAATTATTTCATTGTACACGTCGAAGAGTAGAATTTACCACGACATTAGTAAAAGTTACCACTGTGTGGGGTAAACTGACGCACGTGACAACGTTAACCCAATATTGTGCACGCGTCATCACTCATGTACAACATGGCCGCCGCTTGTGAGACCTTCAACAATTTGGGGATTTTTAAGACGTGATTTCTTTGTTCCAGGTAAGTCAGTGAAATGAATTTCAGTGTTATTTCCTCCAAATGCGATGCTGATGTATGAGGATTAATATCGGGGAGATTGGAGAAGTGACATGCTTACTATTTAGACATTTATTTGCAACTTGGACGTCACGGCTCTACCAACCACGTTTCCATGCACATGATGCATGCGTTTCATGTACCGTATAGTGAGTGTTCTCAGATCTAGAAACACGGAGTAAAGTGACCGACATTTGGGGAATTGTTTTTGAATGAGTTGATTGAGGGAATTCTAACACCCTGCCCATCATTTAGCCCACGTTCCTCGTAATAGTCCTCATGCATCAGCACCATATTTGGGGAAATATCATCTTATTCATTTTACTGACTTTCCAACCCTGCAGGACTCAGTTATTGAAATCCCTCGCGACTGCTGTCTCTAGCATGCAATTCACATTGCAGAGTTCAAAGTTGAATAAAACCGCAAGGATCAATAACAAAGGTACACAACAACTAATTTAAAAACAACCCAAGTGATGGGTAAATTTAGAACCCAACAGTGCAGGGTAAAAATTAGAACCCAATATCTGGGTAAGAAACTGACACAACACTTGGGTAAAAGGAGGGTTGGGTAAAGTTTACCCAATAATTGAGTAAAAAGGGAACATGGTCGTCACATGGGTAAACTTTCTTACCCAACTTTGTTGTGCAAACACGTAACACAATTATGGGTAAAAGTTACACTGAAATGGGTACTTTTCTACACTTTAGCTGTTGTGTAAAAAAAAGTACACAAGTTGACGACCATGTTCCCTTTTTACTCTCGAAAAGGTAGTAATTTTACCCAATATTGAGCAACTATTTTTTAGAGTGTAAGACGTCATGACTGAGCTAATTACATTGATGACTTAACATATCGGGCCAAATAAAAAAAAACATGTTTAGCGCCCCCGCCCACTTCCTTTTTGGAGGACGCCTCCTTTTTCTAACCGAAAAAAAGAATAAAATTTCAACAGTGACATCATTTTGGCTTCTTTGTCTGTTGCATCTAGCCCATATAATTGTAAAGCTTGTATGCAATTTCCCGAGTCCAATGGGGCCATTTAAAAACAAAACCTGGCGGCCATCTTGAAAAATATCCCAGTCGGGCGGTCATTTTGGAGGGGGGGGGGGAAAGGGGGCCTCCCGCTCCCTTCTTTTGCAAAAAGGCTGGACGCTAAACATGTTTTTTTTTTATTTGGCCTCCTAGACGCGAAATTATGACAACAAAGAGGTTGTTAACATTGTGGCGGAAAGTTGACTTATTGCTGGTAGGTACATGTATTCCCAATGCATTTTTGTATTGCACATAGCTAGCGCCCTTGTGTATGCGTGCGTGACGCTCTTATAGTGTGCGCCAGACAGAGGCAGAGAAGTATATAGGTAATACTTGCGCTCTGTGATTTTGTGGTATTAAATGCATACGGCGCAGCTAGTACAAAGCCGTATAAGCTGCACGTAGGTTTATACGTTGCCCATGTTTCTGAAACGGAGTCGCGACTAAAACAAAGCTGCTGATGCCAGCTTATTTGCATGTGCAGGCGTGGATGTGTGTAATGCCGATGCGGTTGCATATGCTGATGTGCCTGTGTAATGCTGATTCGCTTGTGTAATGATGATGCGTCTGTGTAATGCTGATATGATGCGGTAATTGTACATTGCTGATGCGGTTGTATAAAGCTGATGCGCTAATGCTAATGCGCATGTGTAATGCTGATACGGGCGCATGTGCATTGTTGTTGTAGGCCTATATCGAATTGGTTACACTGTGGTGCATTGCTGGCATTGTTGTGCATTACTGAGGCTGCAGTAGGTTCTCTCCCCAATAATTAAGAACCCAGCTAATAAAACAGCCCCAAGTGAATCTCAATTACTTTACATTAATTTTATTGAATGTTGTGAGGTAAAGTATAATTGTATTGCCTGCACCGACTTCGTTAACAGGTTTATTGTGTAATTAATAGACAGTATTAACAATCATTCACAATCGAGGGTATATATTTCCTTCAAAACGGACCTGCACCCTTAGCGTTGAGGTCGCTCTGAGTGGTCTCTCGTTTAGGGAAGAGCCTTGGTTTGAGAAGATTGTCTCCACCCTAATAAGTGTCAGACTTGGTCCAAACAGACCTAGGTTGGCCCGGGGAGATTCCCGCCACAATTCCCAAAAGGCCGCTTTACATCGTTAAAGTTATTCAACAAAACAAATCCTTAAAGTCAAACATTTTGTAGTCTACATGCACATGCCTGTGTCGGTCTACCTCTCCGCTCCCCCATTGAATAAATGGTCCAGTCCATTGACCTATGTGGTTAGATTAGGTGGGCGAAAAGGCACAGGGTCAGTGCGCGCACACGAAGCTGTTCAGTTGTACACAGAGGTTCATGGTCTCTACAAATAGCTTATTCGCACATACAAAATGGTGAAGAATCCATTAACTAATCCTGCACTTTCAGACCCAGATCCCTTCCAAAATCTAATCGACAAAAGCATGCATAAGGTGGGGCTGAATACTTACTGAAGTGAATGATTGGTCGGTGGTGTCGGTGTGACAGCTTGGTTGCAGGTCCAGCCAGTGCAATTGGGACCTCGCGTCGTCATGCTGTCGAGAAAATTTAAAAAGATAAAGTGTTCATAATTATAGGCTAAGCATCACTGTTGTGAATTGCGTGGTTGATGCGGGGGGGGGGGGGGGGTGCTGGTCAGTTTTAGGATATTTGGCTTGTAAGACCCAGTTAGTGCGGGGAGGCGTTCGGATGTTACAGCCTGTTTATGTTATTATGGAGGAACGAATGGTTTAAGAGTGTGTACCGGTAACGATATTACTTTTTTTTTATTAGTACTCAAAAAGGTTTTGGTGAAGTTTCCTCGTGTACCTATCTGTACCTCTATCCGTACTAATGAAACAACTCGAAACAACTGAGATATTTTTTGAGCATGTTTATTACTTCAATATTGTTATTTCTGCAGCTTAATAATAGGCTACAACAACCATTAACCAACTAAACATATTTGTATATGTCAATTTATGATATGGGTGTCGTTGTTTGTTATTCTCTTTTGTTAAATATTTCGGGGGGAAAGGGAAATCTTGAACTGATTCTTGAACTGATGGAGCTTGTAAACAATCTGACTAATTAACCGTCCTAGTCTTTTGCACTTCACAGCCCTTCAAGTTTTACAAATCACTTTTGCCCAGAGTTAGCACCCAACATTGATTACGATACAAAGCCCTGCATATTTCTTGTGTGTGCATACAGCTTGGCATGCGATGGACTCAGTCGCTGTTCATTGCTCTTCACGGTCCTTTCTTTTTTTGGGGGGGGGGGGGTACGACCCGGTCACCTTTTTGAAATGGTACATATTAATCTTTCTTACTTTTTTTGTCCCGGACAAAAATACTCCGCATGTTTTCTCCTGAACGGTTTATGTATTAACTTGTAACTTTATCGAACATTACATCGATCCTGATCCCGAGTGGTGCATATTACTCTAACGTCATGATAACGGCATCATCAGGTGTCAAATTACAAGCGATTTTGGGTCAAAATATGACAATTTTCCGTCATTTGTAACTTATCAACAAAAGAGGACGATCACGCTCGTAGGTTGTGACCCAATATGGACCATAATTAACTTGATGAATATTTTTGATTATACCGCAGTCAAAGTCGTCTGACCTTTCCTTCCGGGGCTACCGGAAGGTCAAAGTTAGGTTAATACAGAACACAGAAATGGCCCTGAAATCAAAATAATGATTTCTTCTGAACAGTTGACGTGGTGGTATTATGACGTCATCATTTACACGGGCGCCCTCTAGCGGCACATCAAAGACGGATGAACTTTTAAATTTACAAACAATTCGTCAAAAATTGTACTAAATTGCACCTAGAAATTCTGTCGACGACCCCAAATTACTTTGCAAGGCTTCAGAGTGGTGAAGTCATCAGACCGAGGGTTAGTGTAGGGAGAATTTCAAAATGATCAGTTTTCTTTTCTTTAATTCAAATCAATCATTATTTTGATTCATATCTGACTATGTTCGTAGCACAAATAGTGATATCCGGTAAACATTGTTGTCCTTGGGCTTTCAAATGCTCTTCATCAAACCGGAAGTTATGTGTTATTTGTATATACACTTAAATATCCATTATAATTTCCAAATTTTCGGAAGTCTATGCACTTCATGATTATACATCCCGTGAGCCAAATCAATATTTAGGCCTACTTAACACATTGTAACTGATGATGTCATCAACATCAAATCGGAAATATGGTGTATGATGTATTTAAAATGTATATTGAAATTCATCAAACCCTAAATGATATGCATTATATTTTCAAAGTAAAAGGCTGAATTTCGTGATTCTTTTCTGTTCTTCACAACGTAACTGGACAATGTCATATCAGGCATGTGAGTGAATTTCAATGAAAAAAACCAGAGAACTTGTGCAAAAACATGGGGGGTGTGGAATCAGGCCAAAAAGGCCCCCAAACAGGCTCTAAGCAAATAAAAACGCAGAAATTTGGGCAACAAAACAAAACATGACTTCCTGTATAAACAGATTCTCATACAGGGTGAGTCCCTTTGTAAATTGTTTTCGTTTTGTTGAAAAAGAACACTTTTTGTGATCCGTGGACAGAAGTTTATACAACGGTGTTTGTGTTTAAAATTCCGTAACTTGAAAAGTACAAGAACTTCCGTTAAATAATTGGGCCTGCCATTTGGGGTTGTTTTTTTTCCTACTAACCCTTTAAAATAGTTGGGAGCCCGATCACCCTGCGTTTGTAACTCAACAAACGCGAATGCCTAGTGTGTTTGTTTTTGTAGTGCCGGTTCAGCGGCTCTGTTTGTATAGTCATGCGACGTGCATGGGGCCTTCGTAAACTCAACCTTTCATAGACGTGGCAGCCATCACGAAAAATGGGGGTGTACTCGCGATTGAATTTTATTTAAATAACGTCTGTAATGCGATCGTTCCCTTGCGCCTCTGATGCTACCACAATGTGCATGCAAATTATAGTCAGAAAATGCAGGCACACGTTTAGTTTTTGGTTTTAAGATGTCTATTTCATCAATATCTTGGAACAAATAGTATATATGTGGCATTGCACATGAAATGAAAGTACATGTGCCATTCAATGTCACATCTGAGGGCATATATATAATACATGTAACTAATTTCTGGAGACAATTACAGTTTTGTATTTTGTTCCTCATATTAGAATCGTTCATCAAATTGGTTCAACTAAAGGCGTGGTAAGAGTGTTACAAGTTTGGATTTTTACCGATGCAAGAACTACAAAAACGCATCCCAAATTAAAAGTAAAATTTTTCAGATATTCTAAATAATTATAAAACAGCATATAAATAATGGCCGTTAACACTTCATAACCCTTCCCCTTAAACTGACCTGATGGGTTACAAAGATCAGTTACTTTAATACGGCAGACACTAATTTTTGCAGGGGGGGGGGGGTTGCATCAGCAAAAACAATCTGCAATGAAGACACTTTGTTCTCCGGACACTTGGTCTCCGTAAAATCAATAGGTGGGAGATGGGGGGGGGGTGCTGTTCAAATCTGACGATAATCAACACTATATTACAGAATAGTGTCGAAATACCCCTGTGACCCGATTGGCTCTGACAAAATTCTGTGCACAGCCAGAATACTTTTGAGGTAGGAGTATGAATGCTTGGACATATACACCATGCACGGAATTTAAAGAAGTGTGTACATATTTTGCAAAAATCGAGTCCTTTCGCAATATCTCAGACATGTTTAGCAATGTTATTTTCCAAATTCGAAATGTTTACCCATTTACACACGACTATTTAAAACCCAAATACTTAGGCCGTAATGAATGTCGTCCGCCAGAAAATGAGGTCCTCAATTGCACCCGGCAAATTTGACACAAATTTTGCCACTGCTTACAGCATACACATGTGTTTTGGTGAAATCTTTTGAGTGGTTTTAAACTCCAACTTACCGCCTAGTTAATGTTTACCCACCTTCTGTTCCCAGTGTGAATGTGACGTGTTGCCGTGGATTTAACGAATACACTTTTCCCCGCATAAAGTTGATGATGTGTTGCCGTAGATTTAACGACAACACTGGAAGCAATTAAGTACATCAATGTTACGAAGAAAGCGATGTAGGCCGTGATCAACCTGATCATGAAGCGATGGTTGCACCGTGGAATGAACGGTATAGACCGTGTTATAAGGCTCCAAGATACCCGGTGACGTCGGCTCATTGTTGAAACGGGAACACGGTTTAGGCCTATAGCTGAAACAAAGATAAAGTTAAGTCTGCTTCTTCAGTAAGTAATGAAAAAAAGTCAATGAACAGGTGTGGATACATAGGAGGAAACCACTCCGTGTAATGTTCTTGCAATTATCTTGCGTCCGTAATTAAAGTCGTTTCTTTAAGAGCAGTGATTTCGCCGAACTCGATCCTCACAAGGTAATTTTCCACACCATTTTTAATGACGGTCTTCTGCTGATATCAAATTCTGCCGACGTGCATGGCCCATCATATCATTTCCAAATAACGCTTGCTGTGCTAGATCACCCATTTGGTTGGCAATTTTACATACAAATGTGCATTACTTCCAGCGCGCTGCTTTGATAATAGACTACAAGGCCACAGTCAGTGGCCGTGTCGATTTAACGCACACAGCCCCGTTTGACCTCATGTTTTTCTTGTCCCGAGGGCAATCACGCATGGCCCAAAAGCGTACGCAGGAATTTACGAGATTTATTCGAGACTACAGAAAAACACAAAAAGTGTCTGGATACATGCACTGTTTGGCCAAGATGGCTAAATACGTTAAAAGTTGAGCATTTCTTAAATCCTGCCAAATTTCTTTGACAGTTGTTCAGTTGCCTTGCGGTTATTTTGACACCAGGTTTATGAAAATATGGCATACCTCCATCGCAGAATGTCCAAATGTTAACTTTTCCCATTGAAAAGTACATGCACATGATATGATATGAAAGCGTGCATCAGAGTGCCGACTAACAGATCGAATAGAAGCTGTGCAAATGTACTTCAAATTAAAAATGGGAAAATGAAACAATTTTTATTGATGCCTTGGCACATGTGGGACATGAAAATATAACTAAAGAGTGATTTTTGGTCAGACTAATTAACTTAAGAGCGGTTCGAAGGGCACGGGAGGGGCGGGGCCGCAACCCCCTCCATGTACATTTTAGCTCCTATTGTTGCATAATGTTTATGTTTATGCTGCAGCACCCCAAATATTTGGATTGGGGTGCTGGAATATGCTTCAGCACACCAAGGGCGGATCCAGAACACAAATTTGGGGGGGGGGCCAAACAATTTTTTGGTTCCCCCCAAAAAGTGGGTCCAAAAAATTACGGCGTGGGGTTCGGGGCCCGCTTAAGGGCCCCGAAAAAATTTTGGATTCTAGATGCTCTGTGGTGTGATATGAGGCGATTTCTGACCACTTTAACCAATTTTTTTTGGGAGGAAAAGATGGTGGTGTTCTCATTGCCTGCCTTTATTGCGATGTCAAAAAGTGGGTCAAAAAAATTACGGCGTGGGGTTCGGGGCCCGCTTAAGGGCCCCGAATTTTTTTTTGGATTCTAGATGCTCTGCGGTGCGATCTGAGGCAATTTCTGACCACTTTAACCAATGTTTTTTTTTGAGGAAAAGATGGTGGTGTACTCATTGCCTGCCTTTATTGCGATGTCAAAAAGTGGGTCAAAAAAATTACGGCGTGGGGTTCGGGGCCCGCTTAAGGGCCCCGAAAATTTTTTGGATTCTAGATGCTCTGTGGTGCGATCTGAGGCAATTTCTGACCACTTTAACCAATGTTTTTTTTTGAGGAAAAGATGGTGGTGTACTCATTGCCTGCCGTTATTGCGATGTCACATAAAAAAAAAAAAAATTGATTTCGTTTTGGGGGGGGCCATGGCCCCCTTTGCCCCCCCCCTGGATCCGCCCTTGCAGCACACCCTACTCCCGGGCAAAAAATGTGTTCCAGCGGCTGAGCGCAGCGCTTTGAAAGTCTAGCACAGAGGTATTTTCTAAATCTTCAGGCAGTGCGGAATCGATATTTCTCTCAATGTATCCAATATCATGACATGTCTATGATATTTCCGCCATCATGATGGAAGCTTTGACCCGAAAGCAATAACCTCGGCCATGACGGTGGTGGCAAAGTTGATTATGTTTGCCAGGATTTTTTTCATTCGATCTTTCAATAGGGGCAAATGTTCATACCTTTCCCCTGAAGGTTTTTCTTTGCATTTGAAAGTTTCATTGACGTTGCAAGCATTCTGTACTCAACATTTACAAAGAGCAAGGTTAACTGAAACCAGTCATGCTTTACGCCAATTCCAGTGTAGTTTCGTTTTAATAGAAAAAACTATTCATGTTTTACCCTCTGCAAGTTTTTCCTCATAAAAACTCTGTAGACCGATCAATCATTGCCTATAGCCCCAAACTTGCCATCAACCGATCATAAAGATACATTTGGTCTTTTAGTCTTGTATATTTGCCATTCCCTGTAACAAACAAATAACACTGCAATATATATCGAGAGCCACATCGTTTGGTGAGTTAGAACTATGTGAATTGTTTTAAGGAACAGAAATTCATCCGCTTCCAGTGGAACCATTTTCAGTTTTCTTTACCAGCATCACAGTGCATCCAGAATCCAACATTGTTGCAGCCTTGCAACAATAATATTTACATGCGATGTCATGCGTAAAGATACAATTCTTTTTCCAGAATTAAATGGAACCAAAAATGGAGATAAAAATACAGAGTTCTCCACTTTTCAGTACAGTTTAACGTTTTAAGAGCAACCGTATATTCTAAACAAAATAATGAAATAAATTGTCTTTATAATCTCTTGACAATTCAAGATAAAGCGCATCAATGCATTTAGTAACCGCTTTCTAAAGTCAATCCAACAGCAATGCCTGCAAGCGCCCGCTACACGAACTTTGTATATGTATCGCAGTCAAAAGGCACCTTAACATGGGAAGTTCTGCACAAACTTTACGTTGTTCGAAAGCTTATGAGTAGGCCAACAAGCTGGCAAAATTACAAGTCTTGAAACCTAAGAATTGTGGAGCAAATTCAAGATATAGCGCATCAATGCATCTAGTAACCGCTTTGTGCAGTCAATCCAACAGCAATGCCTGCAAGCGCCCGCGACACGAACTTCGTATATTGCAGTCAAAAGGCACCTTAACATGAAAAGTTCTGCACAAACTTGACGTTGTTCGAAAGCTTATAAGTAGGCCAACAAGCTGGCAAAAGGACAAGTCTTGAAAACCAAGATTTGTGGAGCAAATTTAAGATATAGCGCATCAATGCATCTAGTAACCGCTTTGTGCAGTCAATCCGACAGCAATGCCTGCAAGCGCCCGCGACACGAACACCGTATATCGCAGTCAAAAGGCACCTTAACATTGGAAGTTCTGCACAAACTTTACGTTGTTTGAAAGCTTATGAGTAGGCTAACAAGCTGGCAAAATGACACGTCTTGAGTAGGTCAACAAGCTGGCAAAAGGACCAGTTTTGAAACTCAAGAATCTTGAGCAAATTCAAGAAATAGCGCATCAATGTATCTAGTAACCGCTTTGTGCAGTCAATCCAACAGCAAAGCCTGCAAGCGCCCGCGACACGAACTTCGTATATCGCAGTCAAAAGGCAATTTACCATGGAAAGTTCTGCACAAACTTGACGTTGTTGGAAAGCTTATGAGTAAGCCAATAAGCTTGCAAAAGGACACGTCTTGAAACCCAAGAATTGTGGAGCAAATTCAAGATATAGCGCATCAATGCATCTAGTAACCGCTTTGTGCAGTCAATCCAACAGCAATGCCTGCAAGCGCCCGCGACACGAACTTCGTATATCGCAGTCAAAAGCCACCTTAACATGGGAAGTTCTGCACAAACTTTACGTTGTTTGAAAGCTAATGAGTAGGCCAACAAGCTGGCAAAATGAAAAGTTTTGAAACCCAAGAATTTTGAGCAAATTTAAGATATAGCGCATCAATGTATCTAGTAACCGCTTTGTGCAGTCCAATCAAACAGCAATGTCTGCAAGCGCCCGCGACACGAACTTCGTATATCGCAGTCAAAAGGCACCTTAACATGAAAAGGTCTGCACAAACTTTACGTTGTTTGAAAGCTTATGAGTAGGCCAACAAGCTGGCAAAAGGACAAGTCTTGAAACGCAAGAATTTTGAGCAAATTCAAGATATAGCGCATCAATGTATCTATAGTAACCGCTTTGTGCAGTCAATCAAACAGCAATGTCTGCAAGCGCCCGGGACACGAACTTCGTATATCGCAGTCAAAAGGCACCTTAACATGAAAAGTTCTGCACAAACTTGACGTTGTTCGACAGCTTATGAGTAGGCCAACCAGCTGGCAAAAAGACAAGTCTTGAAACTCAAGAAATGTGGAGCACTTCAAGATATAGCGCATCAATGCATCTAGTAAACGCTTTGTGCAAACAATCCAACAGCAATGCCTGCAAGCGTCCGCGACACGAACTTCGTATATCGCAGTCAAAAGGCACCTTCACATGGGAAGTTCCCCACAAACTTTACGTTGTTCGAAAGCTTATGAGTAGGCCAACCAGCTGGCAAAAGGACAAGTTTGAAACCGCCTTCTCCACTTCCATTGCCTCTGTCATCTCTGAAGCCTTTTTCTTAATTTGCCATCTCCACCATCAATTCCATTCCCTTTGTCGTCTCCTCCTTCATTTCCCTTGTTAGTCCTCTGATGCTACCGACTCTCTTGCATCCATTACCGCTATATTTTGCCTCCATAATCCCTCCAAAATTTTGCAAACCCTGCCACCTCCGCTGCCTGTTACCTCCACTGCCTCCAACCGCTCCAACTACTCCAACTGTCCCATTAGCCATCTGCTTTATGCCTCCTTTGCCACCTGTCAACCTTGTCAACCCTGGCACTGCCTCTGCATGCTGCCTCCTCTATCTCTCCGGTTCCCTGGTCACATCCACTTCCACTGCCTCATCAGTTAGTCATTTGACTCAGCCAATAGTCATTCAAAAGGATTATCACATAGGTAACAAAATTAAGGTCGTGTTTACTGTAAACAAAAGAAAAGGAACCAAATTAGTCTGATCATTTTTTTTTCAAAAGATTTATTTTTAATTATGTTTGTTATCAGTGTTTATCATGAACAGTGCAAACATCCCATTTATATATAGAGTATAAAAAAAACCGTTCAAGCACTCAACACTTTGGTTGAATACATTACACACAAACCCAAACAAAAATGGTCTGAAAAGGTTCACAAAGTTAAGAGAGAAGAATACAAAATAGCACAATAAAATACAAAATCTAAACCCATAATCACCCCTGTATCAAGCTTCAATGACAAATTGGCATTATTAATCTACAAATGTGCCCAAATGTTTGCTAGCACAACAAATTCAGCAATATATAGTTCAACACCATCAGTTTAAAAGAAAAAACTGTTCATGTAATTATTTGAAGACATGCTAACAAAGACTTTAACATGTAATGTTAGCTTAATGTGCACCAGTGTGCAATTTTACCAGCAAATTATCTTCATCGTCCAAGATAATGTCAAAATTTAATGAAAAGTCAGTAAAATAAGGAATTAAAACAAACATTGTGCAGGACATTAACAGTAGAGACATGTGCACTTTTGAAGAAATCACTTGCCCAACTGAGTGAACATTGTTGTCCCAGTCTGTCCTTGTGTGACAGAAATCCTCATAATATTGCTCTGCCACTAAAGGATTGCTGCTGGTGTTCACTTAAAATCTACATAAACATAAAAAATAAAAACGAAATTAATGACTTACAAATTTTGCCTGGAACTTTACTTTACAGAAATGCATTATTGCCCCTAATTCAATGTTCAGCCGGAGCCTCTGCACCTCCAACAGCTTCTCTCCCTCTGTCTCGTCCGTCCCCTCTGTCGCCTCTGATAACTGATCCGCTACCTCCTCTGACCTTTCTGGTGCCTCTGCTGCCTTCGCTCCTGCAGTCACCTCCGCTACCTCAATTGCCTGGGTGAATTCTGCTGTCTCCTCTACATCCAACACCTTTCTCCGTTGCATTTGGCACCCCCTCAATCCTCTCACATTTCCCCATTGCCACATCCATCACCTCCATCTTGTGCACCACCTCCTCCATCAACTCCATTGCATCCATCGACTCTGCCCCATCTGGAGTCTGTTCTCTTGCTCCCTTCTCCACCACCTCTGTTGTTTCTTTGTTGCCCCTTCTTTGCCTCTGTCACCTCCATCATCTCAAGCTTCTGCCACTGCCTCTCTTACCCCCAAAGCCTCTATCACCTGTGCTGCCTCTGCTACAGCCTCTGCTACTTTAAAAGGAAAAAATGGAAATATCTAGCACCAAACCTAACACAGCCTCCTCTATGTACTGACCCTTTTTGGAGCTCACTTCAATCCCTCGGTCAACTCCTGCTTCCATAGCCCATGTTAGCTCTGCCTCCGCACCCTGTAACCTCCATTGCCTTTGAGAACTGGTCCGCTCTGTTGCCTCCTTTGCTTACCCTGCTTCCTTCATCACCTCCGTTGCCCCTCTCATTGCTTGTGCTGTAAAAAGTGTAAGGAAAACAATATTAAGTGAATATATGCCTCCATATGGGGGGGGGGGGGGGTGAAACCTCCTCCTTTCCGATCTGCTACTGCCCTCTTACCTCCATTGCCCGGGTGTGCCTCTGCCTCCACTGCCCTATCACCTTCGTCATCTCTCTTTCGCCTCCACTGCCCTATCACCTCCGTCACACCTCTGTTGCCTCTACTGCCTTTGCTGCCTCTCTTGTCAGCTTTGCCCATGCTGCTCCCATCGCCCCTTCTGTCATCTTTGTTGCTTCCGAAGAAATCCCTGGCACAGCCTCCTTTCCTTCTGCCTCCTCCATCTCTTCTGGTGCTTTCATTAGCTCTGTTCCTGTTGTTGCCTCATTCATCTCTGTTTCCTCGTCTCCCCTTCCCCGACTGCTTTTGCCGCCTTGTTTGCCTCCATCATACCTCTGTTACCTTCACTTGGTCTATCTCCTCCATCGTCACAATTGCCTTCGCCAACACCTCTGCTATCTGAAAAGACAAAACAAAAAAACCCAGAAAATCTTCAGTATTGCTAAAAACTTGATTCCATCTACTCCGCTGCCTATGCTACCTCTGTTGCTCCACCTCCTCCATCAGCTCTGGTGCCTCCTGTTTTGCCTGCAAAACCTCAAACATTCTGCAAACCCTGCCATGCCACTTCTGCCGCCTTCAGCCGATCCAGGCACTCCAAATGTCACATAAGTCATCTGCCTTGATGCCTCCTTTGCCACCTGTCAACCTTGTCATCTTTGCCACTGCCTCTGCTGCCTCCTCTGCCTCCTCTATCCCCTCCAGTTCCTAGGTCACATCTATTCCACTGCCTCAATTAGTCCTTTGACTCTTGCAAAAGTCATTCAAAATGATTATCACATAGGTAACATAATTAAAGTGTTTTCTGTAAAAAATAAAGGAAAAAGAACAAAATCAACGTAACCTTTTTTTAAAGGTTTAATTTTTATGTTATCAGTGTTTAATAAACACTCCATTAAAAATAGTAAAACAAATATGATCAAGCACTCAAAACTATAGTTGAATACATTACACACAAACCCAAACAAAGATGGTCTGAAAAAGTTCACAAAGTTAAGAGAGAAGAATACAAAATAATAGCAGAATAAAATAACAAAATCTAAACCCATAATCACCCCTGTATCAAGCTTCAATGACAAATTGGCATTATTAATCTACAAATCTGCCCAATTGTTTGCTAGCACAACAAATTTAGCAATATATAGTTCGACACCATCAGTTTAAAGGAAAAATTGTGCGTGTAATTATTCAAAGACATGCCAACTAAGACTTTAACATGTAATTTTAGCTTCATGTGCACCAGTGTGCGATTTTACCAGCAAATTATCTTCATCGTCCAAGATAATGTCAAAAGTTAATGAAAAGTCAGTAAAATAAGGAATTACAACAAACTTTGTGAAGGACATTTGCAGTAGAAACGTGCACTTTTGAAGATATCACTTGCCCAACTAATTGATCACTGTTGTCTCAGTCTGTCCTTATGAAACAGACATCCTCATAATATTGCTCTGCCACTGAAGGATTGCTGCTGGTGTTCACTTAAAATCTACATACACATAAACGATAAGAACAAAATTAATGAATTACAAATATTGCCTGGATCTTTAGTTTACAGAAATGCATTATTGCCCGTAATTCAATGTTCAGCCGGAGCCTCTGCACCTCCAACAGCTTCTCTCCCTCTGTCTCGTCCGTCCCCTCTGTCGCCTCTGATAACTGATCCGCTACCTCCTCTGACCTTTCTGGTGCCTCTGCTGCCTTCGCTCCTGCAGTCACCTCCGCTACCTCAATTGCCTGGGTGAATTCTGCTGTCTCCTCTACATCCAACACCTTTCTCCGTTGCATTTGGCACCCCCTCAATCCTATCACATTTCCCCATTGCCACATCCATCACCTCCATCTTGTGCACCACCTCCTCCATCAACTCCATTGCATCCATCGACTCTGCCCCATCTGGAGTCTGTTCTCTTGCTCCCTTCTCCACCACCTCTGTTGTTTCTTTGTTGCCCCTTCTTTGCCTCTGTCACCTCCATCATCTCAAGCTTCTGCCACTGCCTCTCTTACCCCCAAAGCCTCTATCACCTGTGCTGCCTCTGCTACAGCCTCTGCTACTTTAAAAGGAAAAAATGGAAATATCTAGCACCAAACCTAACACAGCCTCCTCTATATACTGACCCTTTTTGGAGCTCACTTCAATCCCTCGGTCAACTCCTGCTTCCATAGCCCATGTTAGCTCTGCCTCCGCACCCTGTAACCTCCATTGCCTTTGAGAACTGGTCCGCTCTGTTGCCTCCTTTGCTTACCCTGCCTCCTTCATCACCTCCGTTGCCCCTCTCATTGCTTGTGCTGTAAAAAGTGTAAGGAAAACAATATTAAGTGAATATATGCCTCCATATGGGGGGGGGGGGGGGTGAAACCTCCTCCTTTCCGATCTGCTACTGCCCTCTTACCTCCATTGCCCGGGTGTGCCTCTGCCTCCACTGCCCTATCACCTTCATCATCTCTCTTTTGCCTCCACTGCCCTATCACCTCCGTCACACCTCTGTTGCCTCTACTGCCTTTGCTGCCTCTCTTGTCAGCTTTGCCCATGCTGCTCCCATCGCCCCTTCCGTCATCATTGTTGCTTCCGAAGAAATCACTGGCACAGCCTCCTTTCCTTCTGCCTCCTACATCTCTTCTGGTGCTTTCATTAGCTCTGTTCCCGCTGTTGCCTCATTCATCTCTGTTTCCTCGTCTCCCCTTCCCCGACTGCTTTTGCCACCTCGTTTGCCTCCATCATACCTCTGTAACCTTCACTTGGTCTATCTCCTCCATCGTCACAATTGCCTTCGCCAACACCTCTGCTTTCTGAAAAGACAAAACAAACAAAACCCAGAAAATCTTCAGTATTGCTAAAAACTTAATTAAAATCTGGATGAAATTGGTGACACCACCTCCCCATCCCCTCCAGTGCCTCTGCTGCCATAGTTGATTCCATCTACTCTGCTGCCTATGCTACCTCTGTTGCTCCACCTCCTCCATCAGCTCTGGCGCCTCCTGTTTTGCCTGCAAAACCTCAAACATTCTGCAAACCCTGCCATGCCACTTCTGCCGCCTTCAGCCGATCCAGGCACTCCAAATGCCACATAAGTCATCTGCCTTGATGCCTCCTTTGCCACCTGTCAACCTTGTCACCTTTGCCACTGCCTCTGCTGCCTCCTCTATTCCCTCCAGTTCCTAGGTCACATCCATTCCACTGCCTCAGTTAGTCGTTTTGACTCTTGCAATAGTCATGCAAATTATTATCACATAGCTATGTGATAATAATTTACAGAAAACACTACCTTAATTATGTTACCTATGCATAGGTAACATAATTAAGGTAGTGTTTTCTGTAAAACAAAGGAAAAAGAACAAAATCAATGTTATCTTTTTTTAAAGGTTTATTTTTATGTTTTTTACCAGTATTTAATAAACACACCATTAAAAACAGTAAAACAAACAGGATCCAGCACTCAAAACTATAGTTTAATACATTACACACAAACCTTAACAAAAAGTCTTCAAACTGTGTCATAAAGTTAAGATACAAAATAATAGCACCATAAATTAAAGATTTTAAACCCATAAAAAATCCTGTATGAAACTTCAATAACAAATTGGTGTTAATCTATAAATCTGCCCAAATGTGTGCTGGCACAACAAATTTAGCAATTTATTGTTTTCGACACCATCAGTTTTAAGGAACATTGTGCATGTAATCAGTTAAAGACATGCTAAGACTGTAACATGTAATTTTTCCTTAATTGTGCACCATCGAGCAATTTTTCTTGGTAATCTTTATCATATCCAAACCTGTCAAAATCGAATCAAAATTCAGTAAAACAAGAAATTAACACAAACTTTGTGGAGCCCATTTATAGCACAACACTTGCCCCACTGACTGAACACTGTGGCCCAAGTCTCTCATTGGGACATCTTCATAATGTTGGCAATTGATGTGGATTGCTTCTGGTGTTCCCTAGATTTACAGACACACATTCTTTAGAGAAGACTTGCAGCACACAAGGCAATATAATATGACAAACTGCCCCCTCCTCCGTTCCGTTCCTGTTGCCTCGGCCCCCTCAGTCACCTCTGCTGTCTCCATTACCTACGTTGCCTCTGTTGCTGCCATAGCCTCCACTTTTTGTTGCCTCTGTCACCTCCCCCACCTCCACTACTTCCCCTGCTTCCTTAATCACCCATCTTACCTTTACTGCCTTCATTGCCTCTGCCACATCTGTAGCCCCTCTCACCTCCGTCACGTTGCTGCCTCTTTCATTGCCTGTGTTATGTCCATCTTCTCCATCACATCCAGCACTGCCTCCGTTGGCTCCATCACCTGTGTCGTAGTGTCTTACACCTAAAAATGTCTTACACCTCCACTGTTGCATCTAAAGCCTCTGTCACCTCTGCCGGCTCTATATCCGCTTTCACCTCTGTCATCTTTGGCTGCCTCCTCCAACACTTCTGTTCCCTTCGTCGCCTCCTCTTTCACTTCTCCATCACCTCCATTACCTGTAGTGCCTCCACTGCCACCTAAAAGAAAAAAATATATTAATAATGAAAAATCTGCCACCGATACTTCAGCCTCCACTCCTTATTACCACCTCTGTTGCCTTTCAAGACCTTTCTGGACTTCTCTGTTGCTTCCACTGCTTTTGCTGCCTCAATTGCCACTTTTGCTAAAATTTGCCTCCACCACCTCCGACACTTCCATTGTCTCCTTTTCCTCCATCACCTCTTCTGTCACCGCTTTCGCTAGCTCCCTGCAGCCTGCCTCCTCTTCTATCTCCTCTGGTGCCTCAATTATCTCTGTGCCCTCAGTCACCTCTGCTGCCTTGATCACCTCTGTCACCTCGCCCCATCCCATCCTCCCTGGCTGCTTCTCCTGCTGTCTCTGTTATTTTCTGTTGCCTCCGTTGCCTCCAAGACCTCTGCCATCCCCTCGGTTGCATTTGCTGGTTCAATGGCGTCTTCCATATCTCCTCACGCTGCCTCTTTCGCCTCCACAACTGCCTTTATCATATCCATCAGATTGATTGCCTCTGTTGCCTCCCTCCTATTACTAGTGAAAAGAAAAATAAATATCTCATGAAAATCTTGTGGGTAGGTGGCCTCTTTTGGCTCAATCACCTCTGCTGCACTTTTGTTGCCGCTGACAGCATCTTTTCTCAGGCCTCTATTTCCTCTGTGAATGAATGTTCCCTGTTACATCTGCTGCCGTGTCGACTCTGTTGCTCTTGTCACTTTTGCCACCTACTCCTTTGCCACATCCATTGCCACTGCTGCCTCTGCAATCACAAGTTGCTGTCACCACCACATCATCACCTCCGTCGCCTCTGCCAGTTCTGAAGCCTTTTTCACCTGCATCACAATTGTCGCTCTCACTGTCACTTCCATCATTATTGCCTCCCCCTGTAAATAAAATATCTGAAATGGTGCAGCTGCATCAGATACCTCTGTCAACTTCACCGCCTTTAGTTGCCTGTAGGCTCCGTTTGCTTAACCTCTGCCATCTTCTGTGTCCCTTTTGTCAACTCTGCTGACTCCCTCCAATGCCTGTTTTACCTCCCCCTCCTCTGCCACCACCTGAAAAAATTAAACATAATGAAAAATGTCCACCTAAAAATGGTGGACACCACCTCTTCTTTCTGGCTCTCTCTCCTCCAGTGCCTTGTTTGATTCCTTTGACTCTCCTGCCTCCACAGCCATTGCTGCTCTACCAGCTCTGTTGCCTCCTCTATCTCCTTTTGTGCCACTTTAGCCTCTGCCACCTCCCCCTCCTGTTTCCTTTGCTGTCTGTACCCCATTCCATTGCCATCTGCAGCCTCCGTCGGCTCCGCCAGCTTTCCTCCTTCATATCCTCTGTCTCCATCACCACCTCCTCAATTATACCTCCATTGCCTCCCTTTGTCACTGCCACCTTTCTAGCCTATGTTGCCTTAGCCGCTTCGTTCATTCTCTCTGTACCACCTGTTAAACTCGATAAGGTTTCAGGTTTACTTTGTTTCCATACATTGTCCATCAATCTGAGAAATAATATTAGCACACTGTAAAATTAAGTTAGTCGGTTTTTTTTTAAAATTATAGCACAAGAAATTTAGATATACCCTGTATATAGACTCCCCTGAATATGTATTAAGGTTGAATGAAAACAAACGCATGGCAATCTTCCAATCTGTCCCAACCTTGTTAGACGTGACTAAAGTCTGACTCATCAGGGATATATTGATTGACACATCAGGTTTAAGGTACAAATGTGAAGTAACTCCATACAAAAAGTAAGACTGCATGTTTACCAAATGAAAGAAAAAATATACTAAAATAATGATATTTGCTTGGTCTGGCTGTCTGGCATCATCTATTGTCAAATCTTGAGGTACGTTTGGTTTTGATTTTTCAAATGAATTACTTCATCAAATATCTTGCCAGAAGGTTCTGAAAATGGGGGAGTGTACTTTTTGGGGGCAAATTTCCCTATTTGCCAGTGAGCAATTTGTAGGTAATCTCCAACCTCCAAGATAATGACACGATTGAATCAAAATTCAGAAAGTTAAGGAATTAAAACAAACTTTGTGAAGGCCGTTATTGAAAGAAATCAATCTCCCAACTATTAAACTAAACATTGTAGCTTCGATTTTTCCTCTGTGACAACATCAAAATGTTGTTCTGGCACTAATATAAGGATTGCCCCTGGTGTTCACTAAATATACACGCACATCAATAATAAGTAGTAAAATTAATCAAGGAGTTGAACATTATTTAGAAAAGACTTGCACCGTACAAGGCATTAAAGCATAAAACACCACCACAAGCTACATGTTACTTGAATTTACAAAAATGCATTATTAGCCATACCGGTAGCATCACGTTTCATCCAAAGCCTCTGCACCTCCAACACCTCTGTTCCCTATGTTGCCCTTGTTTCCTCTGTCACCTTAATTGCCAACACTGTAGTCTGCATTGCCAATAGCTTGCATCTCCATTGCCACCAGTCGCCTCCATTGCTCCTGTTACATTTACCACCTCTGCTTCCTCCTCTATTCCCATTGGTGCCTCCACTGCCTCTACTGTCTGAAGGTCCCCTGTGTTGCCTTTACTGCCTTAACTGCTACCTCTGCCACCTCCTTTGTCTCCTCTAGTGCCTCGGTCACCTCTGCAGCCTTCATCACCTGGGTCACCGCGGTCATTCCCTCAGCCTCAGTTGCTTCCACCGCCTCCAATCTATGTTGCATGCCACCTGCTCCATCTGCTTAGCTGTCTCCACCGTCTTTGCCACCTGCTCCATCACCTCTTCCAACTCCACCCAATCAACTCCCTACTCCATCATTATCCATTGTCTCAGCCGTCTCCATCGCCTCTGCCACATCTATAGCATGTCACCTTCCCTGCCTTCCATTGCCTCCATCGTCTGCACCGACATCAACCTTTGCCACTGTTAATTAATGAACAATTAATGCCAGAATTAATTAATAATGACTGAATGTGGAGGCAACTTCCCCAGTTGCCTCCACAACATCCATCCTCTCTGCTATGCCACCACTTTCCCCATCACCTCCGTCACCTCTGCTACCTCCATCACCTCTGCTACTTCCGCCGCCTCTCCGACCTCTTTAGCCGGCACCTCCATCACCTTTGCCACCTCATTCAGCACTTATGTTCCTCCAGACCTCCTCCTTTGCCTCCTTTATTACCTCCGTCACTTCCACTGTCTCCAGCCTCTGCCACTGCCTCTTTCACCTCCATCTCTTCTGTCGCCTGGGATGCAGTCTTTGCCTCCTGAAAAGAAAACCAAAGAAACTATGGAAAAATATGGCGCCAATGCTAACATAGCTTCCTCTTCCTCCATTGCCTCTGCTGCCTCAGCTGCATTTGTCAACTCAGCCACCTTCACAGCCTGTGTGGCCTCTGTTTCCTTCACCTCTAAATCAGCTGCCTTCTCTATCCACTCGGGTGCCTACACTGCCTCAGTAGCCTGCACCTCCTCCATTAATTCCTGTGTTGCCTCCCCTCCTCCACTTCAGCCTGAAAATAAAAATAGTAAATAATGAAATATCTGGCTGGGATTTAGACTGCACCACACCTGTCCCCTAAGTTGCCTCCACTGCCTTATTTGATTCCAATGATTCCGCTGCCTCTTCTGCAATTCTTGTTCTACCTCCTCTGTATCTGCTCCCTTATGGTGCCTCTGTCACCTCCGTCACCTTTGCCACGCCTGCTGCCTCAGTTACCCAATTCCTCTGCTGCCTCCAACCCGTTTGTTCCTCTGTCGCCACCGTCACCTCAGCTGCTTCCTCCATTGACTC